TATATATTCTAGCTACTTTTTTTTTTAAATCTACATAAGCCATGCATAAAATATATTGCATCATACTGACAATTGTATTCAGTACAGAATGGTGCTAACAACGCCAAGGTCATGAATTCAAATATGTATGTAAATATGTACCTTGAATGCAATATAAGTTGCTTAGGATAAAATTGTCTGTCAAATGCATAAATGTAAATGAAAACTTGGATTACTTAGTCTATGATTAAGTGCAATAGTTTGCACCACACTTCTCACTGGATAATGCTGGTTTTGAGGTTTGTGTCTATTCAGTGATTTGCAAAAGTAAACTGATCCAGTCTATTTGTATAGGCACACACACTGTACAGTGACTAACAACAGAAACAGGAGAGAGATGTAACAATGAGACAGTAGTTGGATCATTAACCTGGCTGACAATATATAAGTAAATGTAATTTAAATTAAAAAAAAAAGGTAAACACTAGGTTAACCACGGATATGATCGAAAATGCTAGCAGTAATATAGAGGGAAAAAAAATTTTTTCCCAGAACAATTATGCAAAATACATGCCAGTCAGGCAAAAATAACATAATGTAGAATTTAGGCAGTCATTCCTGAACATCATCTATATCCTTCTGTTCTGAGGCTTTGTTCAATAATGTAGCATATGGTGAGATACTGTGAATCGGGCTGGATTTTATCCTAATAAAGTGCTGGGATTGAGTAAAGAATGAGGGATGGATGGATGAACCACTCCTGCTGTTCAAATACGATTAATATGCATGCCCTTCCTATAAATATACACCTCTCTATTCTAATTATATAGGAATATAATTATACTACCAAAATGCATTAATAAGCATTTTTTCTTAAGCAAGCATATTTAATTTAGGCTTAAGGGTGCATGAGGCTGGAATGTGAAGTAGGGCAAAGCCACCTTGATGTGAATACAGTCAAACTTCCTGTAATGTCCCTCAGGTGCAGAGGTGTGAGAAACATCCTTCTGTCTCACTCACAGACAGTTCTAGGGTGTCTGCATGATCCTGATATATCTGTCAGTTGTCTACAGAAGTGGCTCAAAATTTCAGGCCAAATCCCAAACAACCAACTAAATCTCAAGCCAATATGCACTTCCACTGCTTCATTCCTAGTATTAAACACAAAAGAAAATTTTAAATGGAGTACTCTTTTCCATGCATTTACAATAAACGGCCTCGAAAAGCTTTAAAAGCATGCAATTACCGTAAAATTATTAGCAGTCCATAGGACAAACATGCACCCGTAACAGATTATTAGAGTATAACAACTTAAATTTTGGTCTGATCCTGTCAGAAAGCCTTCTAATTCCACAGTCTTGATTCTAAAATGGTTCTAAAACCATCTTTATTTTCTTTAAGCAATATATAAATTTTCTTCTGATTCTGGGAGCTGACTTAGAGCTAATGAGAATGCTGAATAACTACACTCTTAAAAACGGTCTGTAAAAGCAATGCCCAATGTACTGTTAACATGAAGCAATATTCCATATTGATTTTTCACAGGTGTTATTTTGAATTGCACATTGAATTGTGTATTATGGTATGTCCGTAAACTTAGACAATGGCAGATTTTTTTCCCAGCAGAAAATTACAAGTACCTTTTAATTTTTTTTCCCAGTTTTTTTTTCTTACAGTGTAGAAATACATAACTTTACAAATCATTTCACAAATTTTAATGGCCTCTCTCTCCAGATACATATTACATTACTGATATTCAGGTTTATATGTGAGTTACACAGATAGAGAGAGAGAAACAGAGGGAGGCTTAGTAAAAAAATGCGGTAAGTTTGAGTGTTTGGTGTGCACAACGCCTTCAAGGGGAGGACTGACAGTGACAATACTGCTATTTATAAGCACTGCCAAACCAGGGAAAGAAAGAGAGACATGAGTAAAAGAGAGAAAGACAGGAGGAAAAAAGGATTAAAATGGGAATGAGTGACTTGGAAGTCAAAAAATTAAAGGAAGATGAAAATCAAAAAGAATACTAGATGAACTTGAATGAATATGTTCATCTCAAATGAATTTGGGTTGAAGAAGGACACAGAGAGGAGAAGAAGTGAGCAACTGAAAAAAGGGGTAGAGAGAGAGGGAGGGATGAAAATGAGAACAAAGCGGTTAGTGTGAGATCTGCCTCTTAGGTCAGCCTCAACTCTCCAGCCTAAAGAGAGAGATAGAGAGAGAGGTTTAATAAAGACCCGACACCCTAGCCTGCACAACAGGCCTTGTGTTTAACGGAGAGCTGTTAAATTCATTTAGGGAGAAAACTTTGTCCCAAATTCTGTCCACAAATAAGAAAGGGGGTGAAAAGGGACAGAAGGAGAGAGAGAGAGAGAGAGACAGAGAGACAGAGAGAATGACACGGCCACTTACTGACCAACACAAAGGCAGCCACTGCTTGGCAGCAACTGAATGCTGTCGCCTCGGCCTGCAGCCTCTCCATGATCTCACACACCAGTGAAAAACACTGTACGAAGACTCCAGATTGAGAACAGATGGCTTAAAAATCAATTTAAAGGTTGCACAGAAATGCTGGTGCAAAGCAAATGCTCAATCAACTTTTTTGACACTGCCATAGACAGTGCCTTATGCTTAAAAACTGATTTTTCAACCCAAGCTCATTGGAAATATACTACATTTGTGCAAAACCTGAAATACGTTGATGTAATTTGCTGCACTTTTCAGGGGACATGTCCACAAGAGGCCCTATAATCAATATAATTTTTTCTCCATTGCAGATGCGGGTTTATTAAACAGCCTTGTGTCATAAAAAATAAAATAAAATAATAAAAAGTTATATAGTGTTGCTTGCATCATGTTTCATGGCAGTTTCAAAGTCAAATGTCTAGTGACTGGCATAAAATAGCATGTAACATTTTCTCAGAAACAGTTCAACGTGACTGTGGCAACATTTTGTTACATTGGTTAGTGCATGTATAACGGCAGTTCAGAAATGTAATGTATGACAAGTTGCACTAAAAGCTTAATGCTCTATTGCATTTGAAATTAACATACCTACACCAAACCCGCCCTAAACCTAATCAATAGTGTGAGCAAAAACAAACGTGACATTGCGTTTAACTTGCTTCTATGAGTTTTTGAGCTCTGTAATATTGACTCATGTTGCACAGGACTCATACCCAAGTGTTTCTCATTGCAGGTGCAATGCTGTACCAGGTGAGCTACTGAGCAAGTTTACTACTTCATGAAAGCCATACATATGTATACAATGATTTCATACAAGCCATACATATGTATTTGTTTACAAATCACACACTATGGTAAAAGTGTTTTGAGGTCATAACATAGTTTTGTGCAAGGAACACAGTGTTAATTGATAATCTTCCCCGTAATCATAATCATAATCATTATTGTGTGAAAAGGAACAAAAGTTGTTGGCATTTTACTTCCACTAATGTTTATTTCAGCTGGAAACTGCAGTGAAATGTATGTATAGGCATGTTTTTGCAGTTTTTCAGAGTCTACGTTGCAATATTGGAAAATGGGTCACTGTGAACAGAGCTGTTTTTGACTAGGTAAATCGTGTTGTTTTACATAATCATTGAGGAATTTTAACCAAAGAATGTTACAGACATGTTGCAGACATTTCATGAAGACCCTAAAGAATCATACCAACTTGTGGAAAATAGACATTTTTTCAGTCAAATCTGACCCAAACACAGCTCATGGTGGTTTTCCTGTGATTTCCATCTCTAAAACATGACCTTGGAGTTGCATTCTTTCATTCTCTTAAACAATCATTATACATGATCATTATGAGCTTGGCTCTCACAAACAGCATCAGCCCTGACTGTTTTAATAGAGTTACTGTTTCTCTTTGGGTTTATCCTATCTATCAGTGATACTGACATATCCACAATAAATCTACCCCTCACTTTCTTCTATTCATAGGTCAGCTATTTTTACTCTTATCACTTACAGGAGGGGTTTCATCATGTTTTCGCATTCCCTGCATCTAAAAGACTCACACCTTTCTCTCAGATGCATCATGGGAGCTTGTTCACGCTTTTAGACATTTGTACGGAACTAGGAAGTTCATAATTACTTAATGCTAATACATTAATATTTATATATCATTTTAATAATGATGTGTAAGTGGGTATTTGCATGAATTTTCAGAAATACAGCTTTACATTTACGTTAAAACCTTTTTAGACGTTTAACCCCTGTTTTATCTAAATGGTTGATTGATATGTGAGTCAGGATGTATCAGGACAGATACTGTGCTTTACATTCCTTATGCAATGTGATCACATAGGTTTCTGTCTACCTCCAAATGTAATCAGAATTGTTGAATCACAAAACATCCTGGACCACATTTTTACATTTCTACTAAGCACTCACCACTTGTGATCAGATCGCCTCTCTGAAATAGATGTTAATGCCAGATGTGAACAGGGTAATATATGTAAATCTTGAAACTAAGCCTTGTGGGGAAAAAAGTATTAAATGTGCACTTGTACTGTACTTCAAATCTTGTATATTTAAAATAAATCTTTACTTGCTGATAATATAATAATAAAGAAATAAAATGCTAACACACTTAAGTACACTTTTAAAAAGTGCAGTTTTTTAATAACGTCAAATTAAAAAGTTTTACTTCAAATTACTATTGAAATCATTGTTTTAATAATCTTTTGTTATGATTTAAAGAATTTGTGTTTGTGTTGTTAGTGTTAGTATGTGTCAGTATTTGTTAGGGGTTGCACCGACTAATCGACTAGTCGACTTCAAAGCTCTGCCATGACGCTTTAAGCTTGACGTCGATTAGTAGGGCTGTGCAATATATCGAAATTATCGAAATATCGCAAATGTACATAAGTGCATAAATGTACGGCTTGCAATATTTGGGCCATGAGCAAAAGACACAGAGAAAATCACTCACTGCTCTTACCTAAATAACTTTTGTAGCTTAAATAAGAATCAGTGCATATTGAATTCATAGAGTAAATACTAAGCAGTGTTGTATTTTTCCTTTTTATTATTCAGTTGCTAAACTCATGTTAAAATGATTACACTAATGTTAAAATGACATTTTTATGTAATGCTTGAGTAAAACACTACCGTTCACTTTCAGAAGTTGTTGTAGGGGTGCTTTCTTCTCACAAAAAGTGAAACATGTATGCTAGTTATATTAGAATCAGAATTAGAA